TGGCTTGGTCAGCCGGGACTGTGGACTGAAGGAGCTGGACTCAGACTTGGGGAGGCTGTTTGAGCAATCTAGGGACTAGATTTGGTGACACCTCTGAAGGTGTGGGGAGAAATTAAGATGCTGAGTTTTTGTTACCGCAGCATTGATGTTTCTTTACCTTTTACCTGTGCCCTTCCTTTGGCTATTGGCTTGTGACCCTAACCCCTATGATTTTCCATATAAAATGGGAACTCTCCCTTGCTTCTTGTGCCAGTTTCTGGGGCTGCAGAGTTGGTAGTTCAAGGTTTTCTGAGCCATCATTAACCATTATTTTGTTGCTCTGTAAAGGCTTTGTGGCATCAACAAAACCATGCTCATTGGGAACATGGGTATCTCATTAAATGTCCTTGACAGTAGAATCAGTGTAACACATTAAAATAACATTGACATGGATTGTTAATATAAGGCTGTGTATACAAATCACATATTTGTGTTTAATATGTCTGCTGGTAATAATTAAGTTAATTTTAAAATAGTAGATGAAAGGAATGAGCTATATGGCAAATCATTTCTTTTTAGAAAATACCATGTATGGGCATCGGAATACTAAATTAAAGGCAGAAGGCTTGATTGCAGTTATTCACCATTTTCCCTGGGATGAGGCTGATGACAACAACATTCCTGGAAGCTATCTGCACAATAGTAAATTAAGGCCTTTGTTCACCAACCTTTACCTAGCAACACTAGATCTATGCGAGCTAGCTTTAAAACTTGGTAGCTCAACAGTGTTGCAGAAACAATATAGACATATACCCTAAGAACCTTAGATAAGACTCATTGCCACCAAAATGGTTGCTTGTTTTTGTCAATTGCAAGATATTCAAATTATATTGTAGAATGTGTCAACACTCCTGTTCTTGAAATTGTAACATACGGAGATGCGTTATGTATAATGTTCTATTCTGCCCTTTCCATCATTTTTTCTCAAAATACTGGACCTGGGATTGAGGAGATACCAGCTCATTTTGCCAGCTTTACTATTGTTTCTGTGCAAACTTGTATACTCCATTGTAACATTTTGTACTCCAGTTTTTCCTGAAACTGAGCCACTGCACCGTGTGTTTAAGTTTCACTGGATAAAATACAAGAGTACTGGGACAGGTCCTTCCACCATAGCGCTGGGCCTGGAACCTAGACTAGAACACAAAGGTTTCTCCCTTCTAGGACACCATCCATCCCACTGAGCCACCCCCTGAGTTTTTTGCCACTTCTTACCTCACATGTGCCACTCAGTTTCAGCAAGAGAGCTGGGGAGGATTTTGTGTGTTAGTTAGCCTGTGGCCTCATGGTTAGAGTACTGTGCTGGGAAGTGAGAGAGACCAAGTTCACATTTCCACTGGGTGAAGATTGTCAAGAACCTGGGTCTTCTGCTCCATGGGAAAGGGCCAGAACCACTAGGCTATTGGGCTATAATCTAGAAGGGCTGCCTTCCTTTTCTCCTGTGGCATCAAGTACCTGGTAGTTGTGTTTTTTTCTGCAACTAAAAGTTTCAGGACCTGAGCAGCATTACTTACATATCCAGGCAGTTTCCCCCCCCCCTGCACATATGCAGCCACAGTGAAGCCTACAGACTGTGCCTGGTAAGGAAGGTCAGAGTGAACGTAGCTAAGCTGAATTCCAAGCTGTCCAAAAGTGCTAGAAGTCGCAGTTACACTGCAATTACACAGTTACACTGGCTACCTAAGTGCCACTTAGATGAGTGGAGGTGAAATAGGATTTAGCTCTATTTATTTACATAGCTTTTGACATTAGACTTGGGCAGCTACTAAGGTGGTTTTGAGTACTCTTTCCCATCATAAAACCCTTTCTCTTGTTGTTTGTCTGTCTCCTACTTAGACTGTAACTCTTCTAATCAGGATCTGACTATTACTTTCTGCTTGCTGGTTGCCTAACCCACTAGGGCACTGGTCTCAGTTGAATCTTCTAGGGTAGGTGCAGACATTCAAAAAGCCCAAGGCAGAATCTATCTAAGTTATGTGGTTTTTTGTAAGCAGCATAGTTTAGATTGGTAGCAAACAGAATACACATTTTCCCTTTGATGGGAGGAGGACAGTGTGGGGCAAATCTTAAACCAGTTTCTGCCATTTTTTAAACTAGTCTGTGTGCTGAATTTCTGGGGGGGTTTTATGGGTTTGAACTGGTTTTCGATCACTTATACCAGTAAAAGTGTAATATCTGTACCTGGCCCTAAATGCTAGTGTGATGCAAATACCTTTACTACCAAGGAAATGTTTGTGAAGCCAGGATTTGTGTTAAATAAATATTCATTGTAGACTCATGGGTTACAGCTACACTGAAGGTTTTGCTGTGTTACAAGACTTGATTTATTGTAGAACAGCCCTTAGAAATGTTATTGAAAATAATTTGTTTGTTTCCAGAATCTCTGTCCCAAATTTGTGAGGAAATATAAACTTCTTAATAATACCAGGATGTGACGAATGATGCTCCTTACTTTTGTTATTGTACAGAAATGTCTTCCCGTCGGACTCAAATAAGAGTGACAAACGGCATACAGCCAGAAACTAATGGGACACATGCTTCTGAGCTTTTTGTCCTGGCCCTCCTCATCTTCTAGTGAATAAAAAAATATTGCCCATGTTCTAATTAAGCCTCATTATAAATAAAGAGACACCTACTTTAAAGTTCCTAGTGAAATAACTATTACTTTGCCCATAAGAGTGGGGAGAAAAACTCTTTAATGCATCTCCAAGAGAATTTATGGGGTAAAAGAAAAAGAGAGGCAGAGTAATTTTGTTTCTTGAAAATGGATAATACACCTGTCAACATGTATTTATTTTGGTGGCCTTCAATGACATTTTCTAGTGACAGCAGAAAGAGGCTAAAATTACATCTATGAGACCCCATAGAGAGTTGGGTAACAGAGAACTATATTAATTTTAACATGAAACAAACTACTTAAACCAAGCTCCCCCTTCGCCTCTGTTGTATTGGGATCTTCCTCAGATCTCCTCCTCTGAATCATCTTATTGAATAGTCTTTTTATTTTTTTTTTTTCAAATTTCTTTACATACGTTTCAAAAGAAAAAGGAAGAAAAAAAAAACAAGGCCATCTGCTATTTTCTTTATGAAAAAAAAATAAAACCTACAATTAGTGTCTTGTTCATCTTTTCTTTTTCAAAAAAAGAGAACTATTATGCAAATACTCTGCAATTTGGTTTCAAATACACTTTGTACTGTGATGAGCAATTTTCTTTAATACAAACCCAGCCTCCTTGCCAGGATTTTTTTTTTTTTAATGTAGGGAAAAAAAATTCCTTTTGAATCTTTTCTTTTTTTGTTGTGTTCCTCTGATGCCAACTTTTTATCATTGTTTTTTTCCCCCACGTGGTATTATTATAGTCGTTATTCTTTAAGTTGTCAGAAATATTTCTTTACAGGTTTTTGGGGGGGAGAAAACTAAAATAGCTTCACAAAGCCCCATTCTTCTCTCACTTTTCATTGTTCCTCTGCCTCAGTGAAATGGTTGCTACTGAAATGCTGATCTGGGTAAATCAGAGATAAATGTTTTCTGTCCCCTTTCCTGAAAGCAGGGTCGTGGTAATGACAGCTTTCCCTATACTACAGATTTGTAGGAGGACTCCAGTTGCTCTGTGGTGCTTGCCTGTCTTGCAACCAATGGGAGACTCTTGGGGTAGAACGGCAGGACTGAGTTTACACACTCAACTCCTTGCAGACTCTGCTGTCAATATTATTACAGTTGTGCCTGGAAGGCTCATTGCGATCAGGGCTTACTAGTGCTAGGTGCAGTGCAAATAGATTATAGGAAGCAGGATCTGCCCTGAAGGGCTTGCAGTCTTGAACAGATTGACAAAGGTGGGACGAAAGAACTATTTAATAGCATGACAACTGGAGAGATGAAGTAACTGGATTGAGGTCACCTGGGAAGGTACTAGAATCAGGAACTGAACTCATGAGTCAGATTTCTACAATCATTTAAGTGACTTAAGGGAATAAGCCCTGCTGACATCCTTGGAATTTGTAAGCCTAATTATTTAGGCATGTTTGACAATCCTACTCTTAATTATCCCACTCTCAATGCTGTTTACAAAGCATAAAATGGTCTTTGAGGGAAAATTCCCATTAACACCATATTGCTACAAATGCTGAACACAAGGGCCTTGCTCCAGCAAAGTTTAACTGTGAGGGTGGGCTTCAGCACTTAGCTAGATTGATGCCAGGCTGGTCCACATCTTGTGAGAGTACAGAGAGGTAACATTTAGTTCTTACAGGGTGCATCTACATGAGATGCTTAATGAGCAGTAGCTTAAAAACACTGCACAGTAACATGCCAGGCAAAAAAAGTGCTAATATACTGTTGCACAGTAGTATTAGGCTACTACACAGTAAGAATCACAAAAAAGTGCGCTAGCACTACTGCACAGTAGTGCAAGCTACTGTGCATTTAGTTAGTAGTTCATTAAGCAAGTACTAAATTAAATGTGCAATAACTACTGCGCATTAGTGAATATGTAGACACACCCACAGTGTAACTGTTGGTCAGGGCCAAGTGGCCTGTGCAACTTTTGGGGGAATGATTCCTATAGATAGATGTTAATGACTGCATCTTTGAAGCAGAAAATGGTCTCATGTAATAAATATGGTCACCTTTACATTTTTAATGGTCTGTCAAAGCAATAGACAGCTGGGTTTTTTGCAGAAAGTAACAGAATTTCCATGCAAAGGTTTCCATGGAGCTGGAGTGATTGACAATAGTTGATGACTTGGCCTACTGTTCAGTATTGTTCAACATAAAATTCATCAGATTGGATCTTACCAACACGTGCCTTATGTTATCTTATGAGAAACAGGAAGATAACACAAACCAGTGTAGTACCTGGGAGCTACAAAATACTTTCTGATATTGCACAGGGAGCTGTAAATCGTCAGTAAATGGAACCTCTGAAAACCACAATATCTTTGGGATGTTTTTGTTGTTACAGGAAGCTCTTATCATGGCAAGCATGGATCATCCACACCTGGTACGACTCTTGGGGGTCTGCTTGAGCCCTACCATTCAGCTTGTCACTCAGCTGATGCCTCATGGCTGTTTGTTGGACTATGTTCATGAACATAAGGATAACATTGGCTCCCAGCTCCTGCTAAACTGGTGTGTCCAAATAGCTAAGGTAAGTTGGTACCATTATTTAAAATTTCACAAGTAAACAAAGAAACATAGAACTTCTGGTAAAGCAGCAGTACCAATTCCTACGCAAGAAACAGAATTGGAATATTTAGTCCTTTTAAGATTATTGGGTAACCTTTTTAATTAACTCCAGTACTCTGTGCAAGAACATAATATGTACTGGCCAGGCAGCAACCAGAATATTTCTCTTGGCTAAAGCAGGATAAAGCAGTTTTACCATGGTGTCCCTGAAGAAAGGCAGCAGAAAGACCCCCTCTCCAATAAATCTCAGTCTGGGTACAGAATGATTAAGTGACCTCTTCCATGTGACCTGCTTCTTCAGCCTATTGCCTGTACGAGCTGCTTGACTGACCTGAGGTTTCTAGACCTATCTGAATCCAAATTGCCCGCCAGATCCTGATATATACCACCAAGGCACCAGCCTTTATCTGCAAAGATAAAAATTCTTTATTTATTAGTGGGGGTTGCCCCTGCTTTGGGAAACATCACAGTTCTGCTGTGGTTAGGAGCTACCACAGTGGCAGCAGTGTAATACAGTTTAGTGCTATGATATGCTTCGTATCAAAGGCTTGATTCTGTAGTCTTTGCTCAAGTGTAAGTCCCACAGATGCTATTGAGATTTGCCTGAATTAAACCATCATTGTTCGGATAGGGACTCTAGCTCTTTTGACATGGAAAAACAGCATAGACATAGACCATAAATCTACTGTTAATACAACCCATATTCAGCAGTGCTTTATTTATTTATTTATTTATTTATTGCAACAAACATGCTGATATTCAGTGTCACACCTACAGCACATTATTTAGCTATTAGATCACAAGGAATGATGTATTATGCAATTGTTAAAGAACTATAATTTACATACATTTTAAGGCTGTTCTGTTCTACCAGAGTGGTGTACAGGGATCTAGTGTGAATGAGAACCAAGGACAATTTAACAGTAACTACTTAAAAGTTGCTAATATTATTAATTGTTGTGTGAAAATATGCAGAAGTTATGTGTTTGCTACAGCATGTACCAGAAAGTCTTGTCTCTTAGTCCAAATCCAGTAGCTTATGCTGAGCATGTCTATATTTATGCTTTAATGCGCAGTAGCCTATTTTACTGAGCATTAAAGCAGTATGTAAAAAAAAGTGCCATTATGCTAATGTGCGATACAATAGGCTACTGAGCATTAAGCAAGACCTAAAAAATGTGTGTTTGTGCTCCTGTGCATTCGGAAAGCCTAATGTTAAGTACCTTACCTTGAAGGTATTAATTGAATGTGCATTAGGAAAAGCACATTAATACATAAATGTGCATTTATGCATGTAGATGTGCTTGCTGTTTAGCATTAGAGGGACCCAGTTCAGGCTGTGGTGTGTCAGCAGGAAAGCAGCCAGCAGGAAAATATTTGTCATTTCTCTCTGGGTATTTGTAGGGCATATTAAGAAGTGTGTTCACTTCCTCATCCTGCATCTGAAAACATTTTTCTCCTCTCTCTCAGAAAAACCTCCTTTCCATCTGTTTTTCACTCTCTTGATTGATTATGCTTGTTATTATTTATTACCAAACATTTCCATGGTTTCATGCATATAAATATAACCCACCTTTGTTTCCAAATGTTGCATAACATTCTTCTGCTCTATTCAGCACTTGTGAAACCTTACCTGGAAAGAATTCAGTGTAGAACAGCAAGAATAAATAGGGGTTTGGGAAACAAGGCTTAAAGGCTGAAAGAACTAGGGTTATTTGGAACGGAGAAGAGAAGACTGAGGGGGCATTTGATAACTGCCTAAAACATTGAAAGAACAATTATAGAGAGGATGGAGATGGGTTTTTCTCTTGGCTGTAGGGTACAGGAGTAGGAGCAATGGACTCAAGCTGCAGCAGGGGAAGTTTAAATTGGAGATTAGGGGGAACTTTCTGACTATGTGAATGGTCAAGCCTTGGAACAGGCTACCTAAAGAAATTGTGAAATCTTCCTCCTTGGAAGTTTTCAAGATCAGGTTAGATAGACATCTGGCTAGGATGGTTTAGTCAGGGATCGTCTTGCCTTAAGCAAGGGGATGGACTAAATTACCTTGTGAGGTCCCTTCCAGCCCCACTTTCCTATGATCCTATAAGCATCTGATTGTTCAGGCTCTATTGAGACATAGCTTGCATTGGCCTAGCCTGATCAGACCTTCCATGGCACTTGCTGTTGCTCTGTCAAAGCTTTGTGTAGGAGGCTGATATAGTGCAACCGCTGAAGCAGAGTAGCAATGATCAGTAGTACAGGTCACTACTAATGGTAGCTGGGGAGACTCATCATCACGGAAGTTGCTTACAGTTTTCCACTGGTGTTCAATGGAATTAGGATCAGATCCAAAATTCAAGCTTTTTGTGTGGAGTGGAGGCCTAGGTTTAAGCACCCTACTTGGAACAGTGTAGCCTAGAATACTCGATGATTGGGATGTGCATGAGTGTGCATGTGCATATGTGTGTTTGGGAGAAGGTGGTGAGATATCACATTTGAAAATGTGAATACTGAGATATCAGACAGTCTAGCATTCCAAGAAGGATAGACCAAATGGATGCATCTACACGTGACACTGCAACGGGGTGATCCCTCATTACAATGTGCCACTACAGCAAAGTGGCAGCTAAAAATAACCATGTGCTTGGTGTACAGCACAGTATGAGCTGCTACTGCACAGTGCAGTAGCAACGTCACTGTACGGGCATGTGCAGATGTACCCAATGTGTTATATTAACAGATGAACTACATGGGAGAAAAAGGGAAATTCTTTGAAACAAAAGGTGGTTTACTGAGAGGAAGAAGCAAAGTTTACTTAATCCATCTTCCTCCATAGCTCAATAACTGAAAGGTTAATTTAGCTTTGGCCTCATGTTACAGCATGAGGCTGATCTGCTTGGCTCTTCACAAAGAAAAGTGTTACAAACATCTGCTTTCCTTGAAACAGCATATTCAATGCTAGATAGTTGCCCTTTTCGTTCTTTATAGTCACAGCTTGACTGGACCTGTCACTTCTTAGTTGCTAGATGTACATCTCAGTTGTGTACCTACCCTGCTTTGCTTTCTTGGCAGTACTGGTTTGCAGAAGGACTGAAAGCAAAGAATCATACACGTTACAAGGGATGTTCTCCATTGTGCCAGCAGTAGCTTGTCAGTGCATTTCTAAGATGCAAAGTGAGGAGGTGGTTCACTTAGTAGAGAAGGCTACTACAGGTGCTGAATATTAGTATAAAATAACCAATGGCAGGGGTTCAAATGTAATAATTGTTCATTGTACCTTGAGAGAGGAGGGCTGAAGGAAAAAGAGGGTGTTGAGATTTATTCCATATAACCAGCAGGTATATGCAATCGAGCCTAAACTGTATAATCAACAGTAAAAGACCACAGAGCAGGGGAAAGAAGGTCTTATTTTACCAGAACAAGGTCTGTTCTGTGTCACATACCACTGCTGTTGAAAAACCGTATCTCTGCATCACAGCTCTTTTATCTTAAAGATGTTTAATGTCTAAAAGCAATTCATGGAAAAAATTGTGAGGTAATGATGACAAAAAAAATCTTGATGGGTCAACTGATGGTGTCTTCTTATCTCAAAAATTGGAATGAATTTGGGGCAGAAAACCTCATGACAGGGGTGTACCAGTATTGCCATGCCACTCATCAGTCACATTTAATGGCTGAAAGATTTGGTTTGCTTGTAAATAGCCAGATTTCCAGAAGAATGAATGATGAAGCAAGCTATTGCATCAAACTAGAGTGCCCATTATATTACTGAGTGAAAAATCTGTGTATTCTCCATGTAGCTGTGTCCACAGAACTTTGTAGTTAATTTACAGGCTCAGTCACCTAGCATGGGGATTGTTCTCAACAGCAGCCTTTTTTAGCTTTTTGGAAAGGTTTATTGAGCCTGTCTCAAAGCTACCAAAAATGCAGTTGGGATGTAATAGGAGCAAATGACTGTTTGGTGACCACCCAGACGTGTACTCAGCTACCCTGGGGTGAGTTCAGATGTCAGCCTTTCATTGAATATATATCCATTTTCTCCCCTCTCCTGTTTTTGGGGACTTTTTTTCCCCCCGGTAAGGACAGGGATGAAGGATGTTGACATGCCCTGATATTGGGGTTTGGGTTTATTTCTTTGAATGCTTTAAAATCCAGTTAGCATTGCTGCAGTGCATATCTTCCCTGTTGTGCCTTGTTCTTTCTACCAACATGCAGGCTTATTTTTATTAGAGATGTTACTTCAGACCATTTGCTAATACTGCCTGGATAGTCATTTCCAGATGTCTTTAGTTTTTTTTGTTATTTTTTTTTTTAAATAGATGCAGAAGCTAGATAGGAAGGATGCCTGGTTACCAGTGTCTAGGCCTCTGGAGATCTTCTTTGAAGGTTGTCTTTAGGACAGTTATTAAATAATAGTCACTGACACTTGAATGGGAGATCAGCTGTCTTTATTTTGCTTTTATGGACTTGTATACACTTTATTTTGGTTATTATGTCATTGTAGGCTAATTGCACTCTCTTCCAGTAGTTTAAGCTTCTTATTCCAAAGACGAAAGTCCCAGAGGCAGAGCTGCCTCAAACACTCTAAATAAAATATGGCCAGTAGGCAGCAGACATATCTGAGCAGACTTAGTTCTTTTAGTTGGCAGAAATGTAAAGCCTCTCCAGTGCTTTGTTGGAATACATAATAGCTTAGAGACTGAGCCGGTGACATTTTAGCCTAGAGTTCAACCAGCTAAATATTTCAGTGGCTTAAGAATTCAACTGTTAGTGTTTTCATGTGAAATCCCAAGACACATAAGTGCAACAAAGCAATAATCCCTCAGGTTTGCAACCCTTATTCACATACCAAGGTACAAGTCAGTAAGAGTAGTCGAGTAGGCAGTCGGCAGGCAAGCCAAAGGTAGAATAAATGGTCATGGAAATTTTAGACCAGATTGTTCTAGGAATGGATTAAGAGCCAAATGTTCAAAGGTATTT